ATCTTTCCACTATATGTGCGACCGTTAATGGCTCTTGGCATTCCTCACAGCGTGCTTCACTTATAGCCATTACTGGCCCATGAGTCAGGAAAACGAGCATCACAGAGCTGAGCGGCTGCTGCCTTCCGATCAGTTCGCTCATTCCTAATGATACCAACCTGCGCTGGCACCCAACACAAATTATCTTTTTACCTGCTGACATCAGTGCAATCTTGAACCTCCCTCACCACTAGATGTGATTGTTTGCAAAGCACAACGAGAATCACAATATATTACAACAGAATGGTTTGTAAGATTCCTTCTGCTAACTGTTGCAAAGTCCACACCATTTTCAGATTTGGAACCATATGTATATATTGCATCCGATCCTTGGTACTTGGAAGTGTGCTGAAGAAATCTCTTTGACTTTTGCGTCGGATCTCTCCCTTTCTCAATTCCGACCAAATCCAGTTCGACTTGATTGGTCTAAGGAGGGAATTGGGGAGTTCCAGCAGTCAGAACCTTTGTGAAATTTAAATTAAGATCTATCACAAGATTCCCCATTCGCCTACCATAGGATTGGCTATCCTCAAGGGGGTTGAAAACCGATCTGGATGTAGGAGATCCCGGAATCCTTTGCAGTCTCATGTAGTAAATCAGGTCCATGTAGTCCCGGTGTAATGAAAGAGGTGGTTCTCCGCTCTCAGAATATGGGGACTCCACAGATGAAGACCAGAAAGCCCCTGTATAGATTCTGAGAGCTTCATTATGAACCGAGTCCAACATCCGGAGAATAGTGGGAGTTGCAGATGAATAAGCTTCACATCAATAGTCAAGTTTACTACGAATAAGCATTCGGAAAATCGGAAAAGCCGCAGGAGCGTTGTGCGGTCTGCACCCCAAGATAGGTGTGAAAGAACCTGCAAAAGTGCTTTTGTAGTTTTGACCTTTAACTATTTGATGTGAGGCACCCATGTAAACTTTGAGTAAAAAATTAGACCTTCTTTCGCCTCTTGGACAAAATGCAGTGGATATGGTCCTAAATAGAGTGAAGGATGCAACTTTCCTCGTTTGTGGAAATGCATAGCTATGGTCTTGCTTGGAGAAAATTTGAACCCATGGTATGTTGCTTATTGCACAACCTGATTTATTGCAGTCTGCATGTATCTTTGTATATCCTGTACGCTTCCACTTACAGATTACATGAGACAGCACTTGGAACGACCTTTATGATATTAATAGCAATGACAAACAGGGTCACACTTAAGACACTCCCTTATGGGCTGATCTTCCACGTTAGAGAAATTGTTTCCCACCCGAACTCTAAACTTCCTGTCAGCAAGGAAGCTTTGTACGAAGGTAGGTAATGTTCCTCTTAAACCTGTGTCATACAGCTTCATGAGTATACCATGCTTCCAAGTGGTATCATAAGCCTTTTCAAGGTTAAAGAAAACCATTATAATGTGATGTCGCTGTGCAAAGGAATACTATATAGCAGTGTCCATCCTCACAAGTGCATCTGTGGTCGATCTCAGTTTTCTAAACCCATATTGATATGGGGCCAGCACGTTTACCTTTTCCAGCAGCCATGCCAACCTGAAGTTTGCCATTTTCTCTATCAACTTGCAGATGCAACTGGTGAGAGAAATTGGTCTGTAATTCCCTGGTATGGATGCATCCTTGCCAGTTTTAGGGACAGGAATGATTATAGCCTCTTTCCATGTGGATGGCACTGTTCCCTCCCTATAGATCCTATTAAAGAGGTCCAGTAGGAACTTTTGGGAGCTCTCTGGAGTGTGGGATATTATTTGGCATGGAATATCGTCACTTCCTGGAGTTCATCTCCTTGTGCAAAAATGGTAAGTTGTATGGAAGTTCTACTGCAGTGCTACTTAGAAGAATTACATTGGGTGTCGGTCCTGTTAAGCCCGAAGAGTGGAGAATCGGGCAGTGTAAGATGCTCCAGAGGAGACCTCTGCCATGGATTTTTTTTATAATGGATAAAGGTTTGATCACTGGGGCGTCGTTTCAACTGCCTTAATGCAGCTTTTCTTGCTCTGACAGCTTGTTGACATTCATCAAACCACCATGGTACCAGAGGCCGACGGTACTGCCCGCTGCTTTTGGGAATGGATGCTTCTGCTGCAAGGTGACTTTGTGATGTGAAATGATTAACAGCATCCTGAACACACAGGAAATCATTCACAAATCCTTGTAATACTGCAGTTGATCTAAAAAGATTCCAGTCCGCATGTTCAAGTCGCCATCTCTGCAATCCATTGGCTGGAAAACCATTCACCTCCAAAATTATTGGAAAGTGGTTGCTTCCATGACCTGCCCAGTGAAATTCAACTGTGAATCAGGTGAACCAATTGACAGGTCAATATTAGAGAATGTCCCAGTTTAAATTTGGAAGTGTGTGGGTCTGCTACTGTTCAGTAAAACTGCATCTACTCTTGAGAACAACGACTCCAAGGCCCTTACTCAAGGGTTGCACAAAGTGTCTCCCCAGAGGTGATTGAAATCTCCCAAGAGTAGAAATGGATGAGGCAACTGTCCAAATAGATTTTCCAAATCATCTGTGTTGAAATGGTAGATGGATGCAACAGTATAAGGTCGTGTCAAGCCTATTTTCACAGTCTTCAACTGCATTGTCGTTTGCAGGTGGATGGCCTGAAAGGGAATATCCTGACGTACCATCACTGCTACTCTTCTATGAGGTCCATTATCAAAGGCCCCATAATGGGCTTGAACTTGGAATCCTCTCAGGGAAATCGGACAATTTTCCCGTCATAATCTCTTGTAGGCATACACAAACTGGATCACATGAAGCTATCAGATGTTGCAATTCTTCCCATTTTGCATGAATTCCCTGACAGTTCCACTGGATTGGGGTATCCAGTTCTTCAGGTTAACAAATTACTTCATAAGGTGTTTGACAGTACCTGTGGTTAAGGCCCGTCCCACACTTTTAGGCTGTCCCTTTCCAGCATCTTGGGAGTACCTTTTGATGGGTCGTTTACCTATGGAACTAATTTCCACAGGCTTCCTTTGGACAGGCTCAGAATTTCTTTGCTTGAGCTAAGGACAGACCTGAACCTTCAGTTCAGGAGCATTCTGTCTAGCAGCAGAGGCCCCTGTAGATGTGGTGGCAGCTGGAGCTGTCACCGTTGAGGACTCTGGAGCCTTGACTGATGGCTCCAAAGGAGGAGTCTCCTCAGAAGACCCCTCACTCCTACTCCATTCCTGGTGGAACAACTCACCAGAAGCAATTTCAGCATTTGAGGAATGAGGTTTAGAGGTAGTGGCAGAGTGTGTGGTGTAAGAAGTATTGGAGGGTAAGGGATGGCGGAAAGTAGGATGGGCTAGAACTGAGGCAAAGGACATACACGGGCATGTCGCTTTGCTTTTGGAAAACTTTCTTCTTGCTCCATATTACCAATACTTCTTTTTCAAACTTGTACCTTTTACACTGCCTGGAAGAAACATGATGATCTTCTTTGCAGTGGTAACAGCATATTGGACCTGAACAGTTGTCATCTCCTTAATGACTTGTTGTGCTACACTTTATAAACACTCTTGGTTGTCCATTTTGCTTAAAACGGTAAGAGTTGGCTCCATGCCCATAACCCTGGTAGTGGAAGCACCGGGTTGGACAAATAGGGCTTTACCTTGAGGTGGTTCCAAGCCAACTTAACTGATTCAGGAAGGACTAACATTTCAAAAGTTAGGAGAGCTCGTGTCGACTGTTCCAAACCATCAATTTTCTTCTACTGCCACTACATTAAAATTCTTTAGTTCCTCTAACAATTTTTCCTCAGAATACCTCATCAGGTGTCGGGAAAAGACAATTCCTTTGCACTGATTGAGCGTTTTATAAGAACATGAGACTTGAGCCCCAGGAATGTCGCATATTGTACGCAGACGGTCACTCTCATCTGGTGACAAAACATCAACCATCAGGCTACCATCTCGCTGTGGGGTGATGCGAGGATCACATTGATATACCTCGTATGTATTTCAAAAATACCAAGATCCGTGACTAATACACCACCAATGGTCTTCATTACTAGGTATTTACTATATGAGATACTTTCATATTTACCAGGTAAGATTTCTTTCATGGATTGAGGACTTTTCTCCTTACCTGGATTGGGAGCTCAGGAATCATTACGATTCCCGTTTTTGCCCTTAGGAAGCTGGTAAGGTTCGAGACTGACAACATATGAAATTCCAGAAGGATTGGCGAGGGGGATTGCATAGGACGTCAGGGAGAGAGCTTGTTCTTTGCAAATTTGCAGAATTCATAGAAATTAGAATTCTTTATTTCCTCATCCCCCACCCACCATGGAGTGCAACGAGGGGAAGCTATAGTTGGGACTCAAAATCTACAGGGGTTGTGAGGAAATATACGCAGTCACTATTACTGATGGCAGTCGCGGGACCTATGCGCTACCAAAGATGTGTGGTGCTAGCTGCAGGGCGCAGCATGCAGCATCAATCAGTCTCCAGGATTCCTGTCTCCTGGTAATACGAGACGCCACGCACGGCAAACGCATGTGGGAGAGTTCTCCCTGGTTCATTCCATCTTGAACCAGGGAGAACTGGGTGCAACATCCCCTCTCATAGGTATTGGTGCACCAGGAAGCCATTTTGTCTCATCTCTCACTGATAGAGAGAGATGAGATACCCATCAGTCCCCTTGAGGGGTATGGGCTAGACGACTAAACAGGAGAATACCGTGCCCATAGCTCCCTGTGGTCGTTCAGGACGGGTACAAAGTTAGCCTTTCATCCTTTCAACATGTCTCTCACACCTTAGGAAGTGGATAGTAGAAGGGGTTAGGGAAGAGAGGGAAACGAAAGGGGGAGGGAAAAAGAGGCTGAGGACCAAGGCAGGGTGATCCGAGCACAGGGTCTCTGTCTCTTAATCCCCCACGACAACAATAGGCAAGGGATTGGGGGATGGAAGATGACACAGGCAAAAAAAAGGAAAAAAAGAGGCATTAAGATATAAACACCTTTGAAAAATCACAATTTTATTACTTATCAAATATAATTCACACAAAATCTACTACTACAACTACTAGTTAATTATAAGAGTTGGAGTAACAACAATATTTACTTTTTGATAAAATATACAATCAGTTTTTTACTCAAACGCTTATTACCTCATTCTTTCATACACATTACCTTTTATACATATTAATTACTTTTAATTAAAACTTAATAAATCAACTGTTTTATCACATTTAACATTTCATTTTGATTTATTATCAACTCACTGTTGTATATGTAATATATATACTGCCCGTTCATTTATCTGGCTATTTCTTTCTTTGACCAATTTGAACATTTTTTTCACAATCAGTTATTGATCAGACTCTTGAATTGTTATATAAACAATCTAATTAATATTTCCGATTTTTTCAATATTAAATAACCTTTATCTAATTTGTAATGTAATTAACATATAATTACTCTCTTTTCAAAATCGCATTCTTTCCTTCTCTCTATTCTTCCTCGATTCCTCTTTCCAATATTCTTGTTATCGTATTTCTTTTCTTTCTATTCCCTTTTATCTTCTTCCCTTCCTCAGACTAGGTATGTTACCTTCTCATTCTGAATTTGGTAATAGCAAGCCTGTTAAAGAAAGGGAGACTGTGTTAAAAATTTATAGCATGTAATACAACTGGTGACACAAACTAATGAAAAGTCAGTAATGAAATAATGATGATAATGATAATAAGAGCAACAATAACCAACATCAAAGATAATACTACAACAAATAATGATGATAATGATAAAAATATTGTTGATGATTTAAAAACTATATACATAACAATAATAATAATTATTATAGTAATAACAATAGCAATAGCAATATTATATATATAATACACACACACACACACACATGTATGTGTGTGTCTATATTTATATATATATATATATATATATATATATATATATATATATATATATATATATATATATATATATATATATATATATGTATACATATATATATATATATATATATATATATATATATACATATACATATACATATACATATACATATACATATATACATATATGCATATATGCATACATATATATATATATATATATATATATATATATATATATATATATATATATATTATATATATATATATATATATATATATATATATGTATATACATATGTATGTATATGTGTATATACATGTACATGTGTACATATTTGTATGTATATATATATATATATATATATATATATATATATATAGTATATATATATATATATATATATATATATATTATATATATTATATATATTATATATATTATATATATTATATATATTATATATATTATATATATTATATATATTATATATATTATATATATTATATATATTATATATATTATATATATTATATATAATATATAATAATATATATAATATATATATAATATATATTATAATATATAATATTATAATATTTATATTATATATATTATATATATTATATATATATATATATAATATATATAATATATATAATATATATAATATATATAATATATAATATATATATAATATTTATAATATTTATAATATCTATAATATATATATATATACATATATATATATATATATATATATATATATATATATATATATATATATATATATATATATATATATATATATATATATATAATATATGTATACACACACACAGACAACTTGATGGGCAGGATCATCCATAGGGAATGAGCTCGGTGCCCATATAGCCTGAGTTGCTGATCCTGGATTATGCAAGTAACAGTTCCCATGCTAGTCTCATGGTGTAGCCGTTTGTTGATCACATGATCCTGCCAAAAGTACCCCATGATCCGGTGAAGAGACTTGTTACAAAAGGCATTAAGACGAGATTCCAAGGCACTAAATAGCATCTAGGTTTCGTTTCCAAAGAGCAAAACTGACAGTATCAGCTTAGAAATCGCAATCCTAACCTCAGGTAGGGTAGCAGGTTCCTCGCTAGTGGGCACAGGTATTGTGATACCACTTGCATCAAAGTACAGCTGTTCAATATACTCAGCCCAATGTTCATAAACCCCAACATGATCTGAGATGATCTTTCCATTCACTGAGCGGATTGCAGTCATCAGCGAGAAGGGCATAGAGTTCAGTTTTCTCAGGGCTTGGTAGGCAGGGCAAAGGTCATTTCCCAAGAAATGGTCTTCAACCTCCTCAGCAAGATGCCTGATGAACTGATTCTTGTCCCTTCTCAGCAGTGTCTCAGCCCTATGCACCAAAGAGTGACACAAGCCCTGATCACCATTCAGCTGAGTCATGTGACATGTTTCAGTGACCTCCAATGTCTCCTCGCCTTGCTTTCGGGCATAGACCAATGGATTCCTGCACTGCTTTGAGTGTTTTGCACTTGAGTGACTCCCACAGAGCAAATGACTCAGACAAGTTTTCAACTTCTGTGACACAATCAGAGACTGCAGTGGCAAACCCATGGGTGCACTCCTCCTCCCTCAGAATGTCCAAGTGAAACACCCTAGAGTGGCTACTGGATGGATGAGGAGTTTTGAAGTGGATCCATAGGGTAGCCACTTCCAGACTATGGTCAGTGCCACAAACATTCCAGTATACCCTGTAATTCTGAAGGAACCTCCATTGAGTGCTGACAAGAATGTGGTCAAATCCCTTAGCCAGAGTACCTGTATCGTTATACCATGTCCAGCGATACGGATTGGAGTGTTGATACAAGGAACTAGAAATCCTGTTCTCGTTGCTAGGATCAGTTCCCGAGCCATGATGGCCGACAGACATCTTGTAGCCAGCTCAATCACAGCCAGATACCACATTGAAGTCGCCCAGAACAATGCGAATGTCTTGCTTGGGCAATAGTCTGCCATGTGTATGTTGTGATAATGAAATGAGTTATGCTAATGATGCGAGTTGTGAGTGCCATGTTTTGATGCCTTTACATACTGGTTTTGATGTCAGTATTATCGTACGCATATTGTGATAGTTATGTGATTATATTTTACACACTGCTTTTGTGTGATATGTTATGCCATGTGAAATATGGAAGATTATGTTTAGTTTATGCTGCTGTGTAGCATATCACCCATGTAAGTTACCTCAACTACTGAGGGTTGAAGTTGGCTGGAGTAATAGTAGTAAGTATAGCCACCCATACTGATTGTGCTGCTGCTAGGTCTTCTCATCTCCAACAGGGCAGCTACCTCAATTCCCAACCACTCAAATTCCCTCGAGGGAAGAGGTGACTGCTCGTTCTACTACAAGGACTGGATGTTGCAATTGCCTACCCGAATAGCTCGACTGAGGATAAGCTTTGGGCGGGCACACCAGGTGGATACCAACTCTCCTACCTCTGCTGACACTGCCCTGTGGGGTTCCCTTGGGCTTTGCCTCACAGGTCTCAAATTGGATTGGCGCCTGCCAGGGTGCAGGTGGGACGAGTAACTCTCATTCCCATCTTGTGCCCCAACATTTTCCCCCCAACAGGACCCACAGCTCATCTTGCTGGGTAGGAGGGATAGCACCCCTACCCCCAGCATATCCATTTATTAAAGACAAGGCAAGGCCTTCCTCTCCTGAGCTGCCCATTAACCCCAGTATGAGAGGCAGGATTTGGTACAGAGCCAGGGCATGTCCACATGCCAGGGGGCTATGGCTCCGTACCTCTGGGGTCTCCTGCTGCTCCTTGATCCCCCAGAGTTTTGCCCGGGACTGCAAGATGCCCAGTTTCCATTGGTGACCACGAGGAGGCACTGCAAAAGTCTCTGAGAGGCTGTGAATTGGCAGGGGAGGCTTATGCAGAGTTGCTCCCTTCTTCGCACTAGGCTAGCCAGTGGTGGCAGCAGCAAGCGAGAAGGGATGCGAGAACTAAACATTTTCTAGGCTACCACACCATCGTGTGTGTGTGTGTGTGTGTGTGTGTGTGTGTGTGTGTGTGTGTGTGTGTGTGTGTGTGTGTGTGTGTGTGTGTGTGTGTGTGTGTGTGTGTGTTACACACACATACATAAACACATACGTACATAAGCACACACACACACACACACACACACACACACACACACACACACACACACACACACACACACACACACACACACACACACACACACTTAATACTTATATATATAGATCAGTATATATATGTATATGAATATGTATATATATATATATATATATATATATCCATATGTGTGTATATATATATATATATATATATATATATATATATATATATATATATATATATATTTAATATACATACACATACATCTATATAATATAACATAAGATAAATATATATGTATATTTTTATATATACATATATATACACATACACACACACACACACACACACACAAATATATAAATATGTATCTATTTTTCCCCTTTTCTGCTGGTCACAATAAACACCTACAAGAGGATAACAAATTGACATGCTGTAGCAAAACATCAATCAAATAAAACAACAACTAAGTACTGCAGACAAAATAGTATTTGAGACTCCGTACCGCTTACCTTAAGCGTGGTGAACATAAGGCCGAGTTCCCCGAGCAGGCTCCAGCTGCCGGCGCCACCACCGCCATCATCAAGTAAATCCTCAACAAGGCGGATCTCAGCCCCGAGGTGCTGGATGCGGGAACGCACGACCACGAACTGCATCACAGGGAAAAGGTCGTCCATTGTCCACTGGAACATCCGCCCCAGACGTGCCACAGCGCGCTGACAAGACAAACACAATAGTGCTTACTAGTTCTATAGTGTCATCTTTAACATTTGAGCCATTCCCTTCAGTGGTTATGAGAGAACAGACGCACCTCGTTTATGCACTCGAAAGTCTTCTGGATGACGGCAAGTTTGTCTCTCGGAGAGAATGCCGTGGAGAGCAGCTGGAGGGTCTCGATGGCATCGCTGAAGTGGCCCTCCCTGGCTGGTGAAGGTGCCAAGGTCAGGCTCGAGGGGCGCTGTGGTTCAGCGCTGGGACTGGCCTCCCCTCGCTCTGGGACATCCTCTAGCCAGAATTTCCTGGGGAGAAGCGTTCGGATAAGCTCTAGTCCAAACATTAAACAAACAAACACACAACAACAAACACACAAACACACACACACACACACCAAGATGGGCCATCACAAATTTTGACCGGAAGTGGTCCTAATTAACATCTAATTAGCGCTAATGAAGTCAATTATTAAAGTAGTTTTTTTTTGACATTTTGAATAGCCTATCATGTAGAGTTTTAGATGCTGAACAAAATTGTCTTTTGCTGCATTTCAATATAACCTACTGATTTCGAGCTATAGCCATTTGTCAGTCATCAAAATGGCATCACCAAGATATGTGCAAAGGCACTTAAGATGCAATAATTACATGTTTGAATCCATAATTAGAATATGAGAAAAGCAAGGGACACAAGGAAGTTGATTTAACCAAAGTTGCAAATAATGAATAGGATGCCTTTCTAGAGATTAGTGAAGAAAAGACTGAAGCGAACTGATTTTTTTTTTTTGCGGGGGGGGGGATGAAAACAGTCGCAACAGTGATAATTCTGACTGGATGCCATATTGAGACTATTATCGAAAATGCCGTTAACCAAAAAATACATTTTTGAGGTCATGATTATTATTCAAGTGTCATTTATGGATTTTCCGGAATATTTGACTTAATGTGCCTTTGCACATATCTTGGTGACGCCATTTTGATGACGTCACGTTATTTTCAAATGGCTATAGCTCGAAATCAGTAGGTTATATTGAAATGCAGCAAAAGATAATTTTGTTCAGCATCTAAAGCTCTACATGATAGGCTATTTAAAATGTCAAAAAAGATTACTTTGATAACTGACTTCATTAGCGCTAATTAGATGCTAATTAGGACCACTTCCGGTCAAAATTTGTGATGGCCCATCTTGGATTCTTATTCCTTGACCTCGACTGCATAGGTTTCATGCGAAAAACCCAAGGTTACCCCCTTTGCCAGATTGTCTGAAGAAAAACCCTGTCTAAGTGATGAAATACATGTTTACTGATAAGAGTAATTGTTGAAGTCAATCATGAACGACATGATACGAATTTCCAACGTGACCGAGTCATATGACGTGGTATTGACTTCAGTAGGATGAACGATCATTCTGAACCTCTATATCAAAATTATCAGAGAAAAGGCTGTGTATCAATCAACATGACAATTAATTGCCTGGGATCAATGGAATTACTTAGTTGTCTGATTCGGACACAGAGCTCACTCGCGGTGGATACGATAAACCTTATGTACCTTCTACTTTCCATAGGAAGAACAAGGTAATAAGAAAAAACTGTTTTGACTGAATCTGAGAAATACATTTGAAAGTTTCCACAGCCTTGTGCAGCAAAGAGTGGTGTGTATAAACAGTATACGCTGCAGAGTAGTCAAGTATATTTTCCCTTTTATTTGAAGCTCCCACAATGTTTTGCTTCCAATCAAATATCACACCTGCATACCAAGTACTTCAATGGTTTTCTAATGACTTATGTGAAATTCAGAAAAGAGTAACTTCTTTTTTTCAAAACTTTGTATGTCTGAGGTTACGCGCGCACACACACACACACACACACACACACACACACACACACACACACACACACACACACACACACACACACACACACACACACACACACACGCACATCCTGTGAGACACGACCGTCTCACGCCACAACACACAAAACAGGGCAGCTGCACCCATGACAATGCAGAAACACTAATTCTCCTATTATCACTGTTCTTGCATTGATCAATTTCACAATTCGTGAAATATCTCTGCAGGTCTTAATGATTATCCACATATTTGATCATGGAATGCAAACACACCCACTCCAACAGCTGAAGACATGGAGCTCGCTTCAAACATTATTTACATCCTGGTGGACAAAGTGAGAATCATAGAACAAGTATGGAATACCATCCACAAATACCATAATAGAAGAAAAGTAAAAAGTAAAATAGCCATAATGTATGAAATCAACCAAAATTTAGGTTTTCACTGGGTATAATCGTACGGCTGACAAGGATGTGTCACAATCGACACACTAATATTTAACTTAATTTCAATATAGTATTTGCTTCCTCCCAACTTGAGTTTTTTTATCAGTATACGATTACGTCTCTCATACATTACTGATTACACTAATAGCGGTATATGCCACTGGAAAGAATTCTGTCTCATTTTCTATTTCTGCTGAAGTATTGGGTATCAGGGTTACCTATTAGAAGGTAAGCTCTCAGTACTTTTGCCCACAAGACCGCATATTCCTACAAAGGAAAATATATATATATATATATATATATATATATATATATATATATATATATATATATATATAGTATATATATGTGTATATATATAATGTATATATATAATGTATATATATATGTATGTATATACATGTATGTGTATATATATATATTTAACCATT